TTATGATAATAAATATTTTTTTTAATATATATTTAAATATATATATTATAATTATTTTTGTTTATTATTTACTGATTTTATACGTTATTTAAGTACACATAGAAATGACCAAATTTGCTAAGAAACCATTCAGTATACCATTGATAGAAAAATAAACAGCATGCATCTCGAAAATGAATCCACAACAACTACGCATTTAATGTTCCCGTTGAAGGTCTCATGTTTTAGTCTTTTCAAAGTTTGTGATTTTAGAGAATCCAAAAGACAGCCTTCTCAGCATCACCTTCCATGCTCTCTCACCTTCCGATGGGTTGAAATTCTAAATTTAGCCTCATCGTATTTAGTATAGTCACAAGTTAGAGCTAATATATATAGTTTATTTATTTATTTTTAACTGTGCAACATTGTGCCTGTGTATATATAATTCTTATTAAATTTAATATACATTAAATTTTATAATTTTTTATGAAAAGTTTATTTTATATATATATATATATAAATTCAAAAACAGTGGTTAAAAATTCATTTAAAACAGACATACAAGACACGTCATGCCATGAAAGGGGAGCTGTTTGATTTTGAAAAACATGAAAAGGAAGCTTTGGAATCATGTGAGGCAATTAATGCAAGGATAGCTTAGGGTTTCTACCATATACAGGAGCACTACAACTCATGTTTCAATAGTAATCTCCATCGAAATGAGCTTCATTTATAATAATCCCTACAACTTAATTGCATGTCAGGAATCTCATTAATGTAGTTTGGGGGTGGTGCCTGGGCTGGGGGTGTCTCTGTTTACTACTAATTAATGTTATTCATTTTTATGCCATTTGAATTAGATCACAAAATATATATTAATCAGTTTTTTAATTGATTAATACTATAAAAAACTTACCTATGACTAGATATATCATATAATGTATACATCGCAGATACACACTACAAGCAAAATGAGCTGGGCAAAGTTTCTTCATGATGAAATTACATTTATAATTAGTAAGTGGGTGTCATATATATACACACAATCTAATGGTTCTTGTAGAACAGATACTAAGTATAGCTACTCCTTTGTTCAATTCAATTAATTATTAATTAAATTCAACACATCAACTTGTTACCAATACATATTCAAATCTTAGTTCGTAATATAGAAATTGGCTCACGAGAGTACTATTCTCTTCCATTCAACACGAGAGAAAAAATCTATTATATGATGAGTTGCTGATATACCTATTTCTTTGTTAGAATTTTCTTGATACGGAGGATCTAATTAATAAAAGCTTATTCAAAGTTGTCCGTGACCGGAGATGATGAAGTAGGGCGTTTCAATTCGTTGATTGGTTTAAAAATCATCACAATATGTTAAACTGATTTTGGTCCCAGAGAAGAGGAAAACAAATTATCACTATATGACATGCCTGTGTAGGTACATGCATGAAAGCTAGTGTGGATATTTTTTCAAAAAAATATATTTAAAAAATATTTTACAATCCAAACCTAACTACATAAAAGCTTATCTTATAGGGTAAGAGCTCTCGCAATTTCACAAGATTATTTCTTAAGGTATATGTGCATTGCAGATAGTTACTTGACACTGGCATGTATTTAAATTTAGGTGTGATATCTATGAATGAGTCATGTGGATGTTTATCTGAAAAAACACCAGTTAAAAAATCAATGAATAATTTATATAATAAAAATTACAATCAAAGTATATTAAAAAAATTAAGCGTTTTTTTTCTAAAACTTTTCACTTTCATGTAATTAGCATTGTCTTTTGTCAATTCAACCCTCCATAAATCAGTCACCATTTACCCTCCCTATGCAACTGATTAAATATAAGACAAACACATTTCTTTAAAACTAAGAAGATGCTGAGCTAATCAATGAATTGAGTCAAACTATACATTTAGAGAGGAGAGACTGATAGAATTATATATGTTATTGAAGTGATAAGGGTATGTGTGTGTATTCACGTGAATGTTTTTATGTTTATTATTGTGTCTAACAAACATTCATAAATTGAACCTTCATATTGGTATCCATAGGGTGCTTTCAAAAGGGCAACTAAACAAGCTACGTCACCCTTATTCAAACAACGTGGAAGCCATATTATTGCCAACTTGGTTGTCACAATTCACAACTATAATATTTTGGCGTGGCGTCAATGATAATTATTGTTTTTATTCCCTCTCCGTAGCTAGGGACCCAAATCAGCTTACCCTTTAGTGATTATTTTGTTTTCCTCAACTAGAGCATAGTGCTGCATTATTAATTAATTTACATTATGTGCTATTAAGCGAGAGAAAATGTATAAATTACGTTGGACGATTATGGATTAAGATAATTTCAATCTTGAGTGCTGTGGGAGCAAGGAAAACTTTTTGCTATGTATTATTTGATGTATGATATTATCAGCCATAGGATGTCGAAAACTCTAATAATGGTAAATCATTTGCTCACATCTACAATTATACAAACCGTATAATTGTATAATTTATGAATGTAATTTTATATTGTTAAATGGATTTAAAAAAATCAATGTTATTTCATCATGTCAATCCTGATTCCTGAATAGGAAAAATTTGACAGAATAGGAGATGACTTCCTTAAAGTGAATAAATAAGAAGAATTTATTTATTTTTTATAAGATAAATTTACTTTTAATATATATATATATATATATATATATATATATATATTTATAAGATCTTGGTGACAATTTTGAAGTCACTTAGTTTTTCGGCCATAGCCGAACAACAATCTGGGCACTTGAACCATTTGGACCCTCGTCAATTTAATTTCAGGAATAAGTCAATATGTGATGTGGCACAGGATTTCTACTGTAAACTGACAAATGACAAAAAATTGTAAAGATTCCTTCTACTACACTTCCTTTTCTATCTCTTTTCCATAGTTAATAGTCCTCACATTTGAGTTAGTGACGTATAAACCAAACTTTGACAACTTGCCTCAAATAAACACTCCTGTGATTGTCCTACATAACAAATCTCACCCTGTGTTGTTTTCAATCATGTTCCAATCAGTAAAGACAAATTATGTAGGGGAAAAAATGCCCATTTTGAATTGGCAGTAGCTTTTCTACCAAAAATGATGACATTGTTTTCTTTGCTTGGTTATCATCAGTTTTTAGTTGGAAGATATATTTAAAATAAAAAATGTACACATGCACACCATATATCAAATGAGAAAAAAATATTTTTTTTTAAACATGAACAAGAGAAATAAATCTCAATCATTTAAAATATAAAGATTATATAATAAGTTAAAAAAAATACATGACTTTAATCAAGTTATAATATTGAGTATTTATGTATAAATGTAAAATCATATTTACTCTTCTTATTCTGTTATAAAATAACTTTTTTTATTAGAAATATACATAGTATATATGGGAAATGCATTAAATATTTTTTTTATGTAAGAGTAAAAGAGGTAAATCTTAATCACTAAATCTAATTAGAAAGTATTAAAATATTAAGTGATGTGGTATTTTAAAATAATCATGCAATTATTAAATAATTTTTAATTTTAATCATTCATATATAATTATACAATTAATATATTGTTATTATATGAAAAATAATAACAATATTATTAAAAAATTTAAAAGTCAATATTAAAAAATAAGTGTATTATTTTTAAGTGGTTTTACCACTACTAATATGATTATGTTATTTATATTTAAATTTATGGTTGTTATTACAATCTTAAAATAAAATTATTTGCATTATATATGTCCCTTACATAATACTTATGAGTGTAATCATACATGATAGTATATTATACATGAAAACTCTCCCTGCGCTCACAAGGAAGAAATTACTCAAGTGTATTCACCTTCACTTATTGTATAAAATGAGAAGAATGGACATAGCTTTAGATTTTATTTAAATAAAAAAAACTTAAAAAATACATATATGCACATGATTCATTTTAATAGTTATGTATTTATTAACTAACTTTTAATTATGTAAATTTATATATAATTATATCATATAAATTTATAATTTTTATGAGAATTATTTTCTTTTTTATTAAGTCACATTATTTTTCTTTAATTGAGCATTTAATTTTTTTATTATGATTTTTTCTTCCAAATATTGTTACTTAATTTTAAATTGAATTTGATGTAAATTTTAAATATCAATATATTACATTAAATTAAAGATATTTTCAATATAAAGTGAATTTAAAAATATAGTCAATTTAATTAATTCTAGTATAAATCTTGATGCTCCATAATATGATTTGCATTTAAATAATTTATTTTTTGATTTTTAATTTAAAAATGTTTCTTATTTGTTTGTATTTAATATAATGCAATAATTATTATATTTAACTTATTTTATTTATATGCTTTATGTTTAAATGTATAAATATTTTGTATAATGCATGATCTTTTTAATTTTTTGTTTAAATATAAACGTTTAGAACAATTTTTTAATAACTATGTAACCTTTACTCTCACTAGTCCAAATTTCTAGTTTTATCGGGTAACCACCAATTTGAATACATAAAGTTACAACCACAATACCTAAAAGGTCCTAATTCCTAAACAAAGCTAGGACCAGGTGCTGGGGTAATATGGCAAGTAAATGTTTTATTCCATTTCTAAATATTACAATTAAATAAAGCAATGGGTACCCAAAAGAAAGAGGAAAAAAAGTAAGAGAGAATTAAATAACACAATCCATTAATTTATTTGATCATAAATTAATAAATATCTATTGTAGTTGAATGTGATTGATACTATGATGATATTACAGCAGAACTAGCAAGAGGGGCTTGCAACCCTCACACGCTGTATGCCATTATAAATACACACAACTCTCACTGTCTCAGTCTCATTATGTGCAGCTCTTTCATTTGTGTTCTACTATTAACTTCCTCTGTTTCAGGTCCCTGTTTTTATCCTTTCAAACACTTTTCTTTTCAGGTTACCCAGTTTTCAAGTATATATACATATATATAAAAAAATGGGTGGGAATTCCCCATGTGCCTCATGCAAGCTTCTGAGACGCCGATGCACAAAAGATTGCACCTTTGCTCCTTATTTCCCTCCTGATGAACCACAAAAATTTGCCATAGTTCATAAAGTTTTCGGAGCCAGTAATGTTAGCAAAATGTTGCAGGTTTATATCTCTTACTTTTTTATTTGATTCCTTTTGATGATACCCTTTTGTAGTTGGTTAGTTGATCCATAATCTTGAGAATCAAGGATGTAAAAAGAGAACCTTTTAGATTTGATGTTAGAGAGGTTTTGTCTTTTGAAATTTTTCTTAATGGTTGTTTTTTATTTAATGATTCAGGAACTTCCAGTTCATCAGAGAGCAGATGCAGTGAGCAGTTTAGTGTATGAAGCAAATGCTAGAGCTCGGGACCCTGTGTATGGTTGTGTTGGAGCCATTTCCTACTTACAAAATCAAGTTTCTGAACTTCAAATGCAACTTGCAGTTGCTCAAGCAGAAATCCTCTGCATACAAATGCGAAATGAGCAAGTGATTCCAGTCCCAGAAATCGATTCAGATCAGAAATCTAATATTCTTCAAAATGACCTCTCTCAATACTTTAATTTTGGCGCATCTAGTAATGTAATTTATGACTCCCAGAGTATTTTTGGACATGAGATGATTTCTTGAATGAAATTTGATCCGTAAATGCAAGTTTTTTTTTTAATTAACATTTCTATAACTTTGTGTCAATAATATAAAACTAAATATATTAATAATATTAAATAGAATAAAATTTAATAAAAATATAATTAATTAGTTTTTTTAACATATTATTGAATTTATGTTAAAAAAAAGTTCTTTTTCATTTGGAAAGAGAAGAAACATAAGGAGGACACTTCTAAGGTCAACTCTTGCATGTGATTAAATGTACAAGTGGAGTAATATTTGTGTTTTGAATCGGTATCTTGTAAAATTCATTATTAAAGTGTCTGCATTAATGGAGCCGTCCGTTTAAAAAATGACAAACATTCTTAAAAATATATAAAATACTTAGAAAGAAAACTTGCAACATCGAAATATTTTGTTTTTCTCATTAAAAGTAACCATTCTACCAGAAAAAAAAAATCCTTATTTCTTTGTGTTTTTCATAAGATCCTTAAAAGCTGTGATTGTTTTTTCTATTTCTGGTATTTATGTTTTCAATATTGGATTGCATAGTTGTTAGTTTTTGCTTTCGAACAACGTGCTCTTTTCCCTTGTACTTGCTTTTAGCCTTTTACCTCCCTTTTTCCAACCTTGTCTTGATAAATTCTACAAAATATCTCTAAATACAAATAACATAAATTAATAATATAGTTTAGTATTTAAGGTTACTTTAAATCTTAATAAATAAATAAATAAATTACACAATGTATATATATTATTTTAATATCAATTGCTAAAATTATATTTATTTTATTTTATTTATGTGATAACCGTAAATTTATATTTAAATACTCAAAATCACAACTTAAGTATTCAGTAAAGTAATTTTCTTACATTAAAACAATTATTACAATTCAATATTTTTTAATTTTCATTAACTAATTCATAGAGAAATGTATTCATGCTTATGATTTTAAAAATATCATAATATTTATTAAATAATTAATATTTTAAATTGTAATATACTATTTGTAAATCTTATTATATGTAATTACTATTATACATTTTAAGAAAAATATTATTGTAATATTTACTTAATTTAATTATTGAATGTCTCACCAATAATATAATTTCATTTTATATGTAAAAATTATTATAAATATCTACAAGATATATGTTGGATAAAAAAATTATATAGTATATATATATATATATATATATATATATATATATAATAGGATAATTTTTTCAAAATTGAAAATTTGTAATTTGTATCAATTTATTTTACTTAATAAAATTTGTGTTATAATGAAAAAACTAAAAATATTAAACATATAATGTGATGATGATATAAAATATTTATTTCAAAATAATCAATAATTATGTTATATTATTAGTATTATTTAAACTTGTTTTAATAATAAATATTATGACTATCAATGATATAAATATTTTTATTATAAATGTTTTATCTGATATTTATTAGATTTTTACAATAAATATATTTCTATTAAATTATAAAAATACAATTCAACACATTATTATTATTATTATTAATTTTAGGATTTATATTTTATTTAAAAGAGTTTATAAATAATTTATTTTAACTTATTTCAATGAAATATTTATATAAATATCAAAATTAGTTATATCTAAGCATATTCGATTAAGCTTTGTAGTTAAAATTATACTATAAGTCATTATTTAAAAAAAATATTAAGTAAATATTTAATTAAATTATGCATACAAATGTTGTAATAAAAATTTTAATTAAAACTGCATAAAACATAAAATTATTTATTTTTAACATGAAATAAAAAATATAATTAATAAAACAAACACCAACAGAATAAATAAATTGTTAAGGTATAATACAAGAGTGTTAATTATAATACAAATAATATATATAAAAAATACGCTCATTGCTTATCTCGTAATGAAAAATTTATATCATAATTTTAAAATTCTTATTATAAATAAAATTGAAGTGATTAATTTTAGTTCTGTCATGGATAAAGTTTATTACTAATTTTATATCTTATACTTCAAATGTAAGAAAAAAAAATATAATTTTCACAAAAATAAAAAATACTTTTATATTTTAAAAAAATATTTATTTAACATTCATTTTAAAGCAATTAAAACATTCCTTTAACAATTTAACTTATGCATTAAATGCACTCGATAAAAAAATTTAATTTGATTAAATTTTATAAAAAATAATTTTAATACACTATTATTATAAAAAAAATTAAATTATCAATTAATTAAAATAATATTTGTAAGAATTTTTATAAAAATTATATATTATTACTTATATGAAATTTTATAATTACATTATATTGTAAATTTTTTTTACACTATAAATGTGCTTTTAATAATTTTTTATTAAAAATTTTATCAATTAAATTGATTGATTCAATATTTTATAAAAATTATTAGTATAAGTTCTAAATTTCACATTAACAAATTATATATATATATATATATATATATATATTTATTTATATAAGAAAGCAAATTAAAGAAAAATTTCTTTTAACTATAAAATCAAAATTAATAGACTAAAATATATTTAAAATCATTTATGTATAATTATATAACTAAAATTAATATTTTATCTATTACATTTTCTTTGTAAACTTACTAATTATAGGCTCGTTTCCTAATGAAAAAAAAAATCTAAAATAAAATAATGAAGCATAACTCATACGCGGCAGGTTCACTGGTCTCTTTCGTAGAAGAAAAAAAATTAAATAGGAATACGTATAGTTGTATATGTATGTGCACACGACACTATATTGAACTACAAAAATATTAAATTTAAACCTTACCTCAAAGTTCCGATTAAACAGTTCTCCTCAGGACGTATGTGAATAAATAATTTAACTAAATATTTATTTAATAAATTATAAAAAAAAGTTTGCATTATAAATTTGACAATAAAATTTATGATTTTTTAATTTTAATTTTAAAAGTTAAGTTTAAATATCTAAAATAATAATAATTTATTCAAAAATATAATATTTATTATATATTTAAAGAAATAAATAATTTTTAATAACACCGTATCATTTCTAATTGCTTATCCTCAACTATGAAAATTTAGATTAATATTTTTCATAATAATAATAAATTATTTTTATAATATTTCGAGCACACTTTTAATACATCAAGGAAAACAATTTTTAATGTAAAAGTAAAAAATATAAATCTTATAATGAAATTTTAATATTAGAAAAAAGTTTATTTTATTCCATGTATATTTAGTTATATATAATTTAGATTTTTACTTTTAAAAGTATACAGGATATTGTATACTTTTGAAAGTTATTTAGTTATCTAATTTTTCTAATTTTTTAAAAAAACATTTGTTTTATACATTGTTTTTTAAAAAAGTCAAAGTTTAAATTGGATATAACTAAATATGTTAGGCAGTAAAATGAATTTTTTCCTTAATATTAAATTATATAATATTTTAAAAGAATCATAAATTATTAAATAAATTTTAATTTTAAAAATAATTATATAAAAAAGATTTACTATTTAAATCATAAGTATTTTTAATTAAAAAACTATTATTAAAAACAAAGCTAATTTAAATCATGTATTAGCATGAGATAGCTATTATCTTGTTAATTCACATTTACACATTCTACACTTGTCTTAACAACAATCCTTTCCCCTGTATTCTTCAATCCTCACAAAGTTTCCTTTGTCTCTCTTCTAGTCATGTTACTTTTCAGCCATAACATGTGCTTTTTCCGAAACTTCACACATATTCTATCCTTTTCGCTTTCACTTTCATGTCTCAGTCGTCCATTACCTTACAGATTACAATCTTCTGATCTTAATATAAAACGTTAAAATCAGCCGCAGCTGAACTCATTCATTTGGGTCAATTTCTTCTAGCTTGGTTCACGCGTGGAGGGGATTGTGCAAAAAAGTGCTCAGTTTATGGGATGTGCACTTACATTACATAGAGACAAATTTTTCTAAATTCATCTCTCCAAACAAATTTGTGTCGAAGTCAGACATTAGTTAATTTAAATGCTAACGATAGAAACCAGAAACGTCAAAAGGGGTAACAACCGGCTGTTGGTTGTTTAAATAATGGAAAAACAAAACTCGAAAGCATAATGACTTCGTTCGTCCCTACCGAACCTTGGCTTTGTACATTGTTGTCTGTATGTAGCCGTATATCTCCTATCCTTCCATTGTCATTGCTTTTGAAAAATTTATACTATTGTCATCGCTTTAGTTTTTGCTACAACTATGTACATATATTATTATTATTTATGATAACACCGTAACAATCATTACAATTATAGGCATTGTTATTATCATAATCATTATTATTTTTATTGTCGTCATTATAACTATTATTCTTATCACAAATTTATCGTTGTTATTATTGTTTTTTCCTTAATCTTTTCCGCTTTACTTATTTGTGCTTAAAAGATTGAACGGAAAACACGTGGAAAATTTCTTGCATTTTAAAGTAAAATGGTAGTTGAGTGGGTTTGATTATCTAAAACAGTAAACTAATACATTAATTAAAAGTAATTTTAAACTTACACTCATTTATATGTCACGTAATTAAAAGTATAAATTACTACTAACTTTTTTATCGCTTCTCCCATTTGATTTTTTTTTTCTTATAATCTAAGATTCTCTGATAATCTTACCTCAAGATTCATGGCATATTGCACGAATAAAAACAAATGTGAAAGTTCATGAATTTATGTACTACGTGCAATGACTTCCAAGATTTGTTAATTTCTTAGAATATAATGCTCAACTTTACTTTACCGTACCATTTAGGTGAACCTGTTACCACAATGAACACCAGAAATCACTGGTACACTGGAAAGCTGTCAAGAACTTTTATATTCCAAGAGCTGAAGATAAAAAAGAAAGGAAGAGAGAAATCGAACTACTAAAGAAAAAGAATATCCATGATTCAATGATTGAGCTAGTGATTACAACAAATGATTTTGGCTGAAACACGTTATGCGCCAACAGTTTTAAACTAAACTCTGTCTGTCCATACATAAAATGATGTGGTGGAAAATTGCTTGAATGCAAACATGAAAAGGCTCTTGTATTTGACTTGTTTTGTTTTGTTTCTTTTAATTTGAAAATATGGGCTTAAGAAGGACAACATTGTAGGGAGTTAGATGCTCAATGATATATGATAGCAGTTGAATAGAACATTAATAACAAGTTAAAATACATTACATGACAAATATCTATCAATATGAAATTCTGCTCTTTTTTGTGGTGACAGAGAAAGTGATAGTGGGAACCACATTTATATTTTGAGGGCTCGAGGACAATACTTCCAAAAGAAGTTTTGTTTTGGAATGATGCCACTAACCCACCTCTTCAGTCCCTTTCTCTTTTGACTTTGTTTTTTACTCTCACTTATTTTAGTCAAAGTGAGATTTTCTGGCACTTTGCTTCAACACCAACAAATTAACATTATGCACAAAAAAGGTTACATTATATAGAAGAAGAAGCTATGCATATATATATTAATTATTTTTGCACGCCGCCATGTGTATATGAACAAAACCATTTTGATGTAAATTCAAATGTTTAAAATTGTGCAGCTTGGAGCATTGAACCTTAACACCTACTGCTTTCTAGTCTAAAGAAAACCATTGTTAATTCAGTCCCCTTATTTTAGAGGCGAGGCATTTACTATGTTAGACAAAATTGAAAGTTATAGGATACTAGTATTTTATAACTAAAAAATGCACTTCACTTTACTAGATCTACAAATGAATAAAATAAGCAAGCACTTGGATTGACAGTTTCATTGGATCTGAATGATCTCAACGACTTATTGTACCCCGTTATTTGTAAAGAAATTATGAACTTAGGAAGCAGCAAATTATCCTAAGCTTTATTCTGCATGGTAGCATAAGCATGGCATGTAATGCCAAATCCAAATATAAGATACATACTTCCTTAATAAGAGGACTAATACATTCTAAATGACAATTTAGAGACCTTTTACTTCCAATTGATAATATGGAGACTCGCCTAGGTTCTGATTTGTCCCATCAAATCCGCAGAGTTGTATAATGAATTTTAGACTAGAAGTGCTAGGAGGAACTTCGAGCTCAGAAACATAAAAACAGTTTACTTGTGCTACTCCAAGATACTCCTTCACAAGTTTTACTGTGGTGTTTGGATTACCATCTGCTAGTTTTGGTAGGTTCTCCACATACACATTATAGTGTGGGAATACAAAATTCTTTCCTTCTTTCAGTTTCCAAGAAATTTTAACACTAAGGATCCTTGAACCCTGAGGACCTGATTTCCAATTGATGTATTCACCATTGACTAGCCAGGAAGTGGAAACAGGAAAATCTGGCTGGTAGTTAGATGTTTTGACTGTGATATGACCAAGAACAGCAAAATAATCAGTTGGAGAAGCCACAGTATGATCAGGACCTAATGGTCTGGATTTCTGTCTCAGTTCATTGGATGGAGCATTTGGCCTTTGGCACAAAGCATGGATTTCTGTCAAAATGTATCCATTCATTTCAATTGTACCTTCATGGATAACCCATCCTGGGGCATTTCCTTTGTGTTCAGTTGTTGGGATTACTTTGCTAAATTTGCTTGACAGATTATCCATTCCCTGGGATGTGAGTAGTATAGACATTGCTTTATTGATAGTGGAAGTGAACTCAAGTACTAATCCCAAGGAAGAATTGCTATCAGATTTCACCTGCATTTGTCATGGACTTCCGATGTCAACTATATTTATAAAAAAATGGCTCTGATAGGAATACAAGTCGTATATAGAGATTTTGGGGGAACTAGTCTGAATGTGCATGAATAGCATTATACCAGTGGTCAAGGAAATATACCCCATTTCCCTTCCTTCAAACTGATTCAGCTCCCTAAGAAAGAGATAAACTATATGATTGATGTGAAGTTTTTTCAGCAATTTTAACAGAGGTGATAACTTACAGAATAAATGAAGTGAATAGGCAACTCGCTTAAAATAAATTCCCCTTGAAAGATTCTTCTCTTGAAGTAAATATCCCTTTCAAGGGATCCTTTGAATGTAATGTTTCCCCCTCCACTATATGATGCTTCCTTCAAGCTACATATTGTAAGCAAGACAATAAATACTCGAGATGCTATCAGAACTAGTTCTGAAATGCAGTAATTTAACTTGATTTAAAAGTTGAAATGAAAGGAGGCATACAAAATCACAAACAGGTAGCAGAATATGAGAAAAGAATGCTTCTTGCATTGAATATTGAATGACAACAACGAAAAGGAGACAATTCTCCTCCATGCAGTTAAAGAATATTGAATGCTTCAGTTAAAGAAAATAATAAACATTGAATATTATATCACTTACTCTACAAGAAGTTGAACAGAATTTGTAGAATCAGCAAACTCAAGGAGTGGCTGCACACAAAAATGTGAGTTAGGTTATAGTCAAATTCTTAAAATAAATAGTTATAATAGTATAACGAATGAAGGGATCATGATTAACTAATCTATGATATACTGTATAGTTATGACTAAAGGAAAACAAGTTTGTCATTCAATCATCCATTTCAAAAGTAAAATTGACAATGAACTTCAAGATTTGGGGTAGATAAGTGTTCTCAAATGATCACAATATTTCACTTGTCATTCCAGATTAGCTTTATTATAGATGATGCTACTTAAAACAGCCCTTAATCTCAGCAATGACAAAGAAGAATTCAAAAGATGGTGCATACATGAATCTTTTCTAGTTCTCCGATCTATCAATACAGTAAATAATTGAGCCAACAATAAGAGTCTTTATTTGGTGCATACCTGAATGCCTTGGGAAGAAATGTTGCACCAAGTAGCATTTGAAACATTGTCTCCCTCAACTGAAATATGATAACCGCGTCCCTGAAAGTAACAAAGAATGGCCTTATTTGAAAGACAAGAATCCTCAAGTTTCAGCATCTGATCTAATTGTATTGCTTCTCCGTTGCAATTTAGTTACCAAAATAGTATCGGCAAATCATAAAAAGGATGTGAAGCATTTCATATAGATGAATATAATGAACTAGAAGTAAATAATGTCTTGAAACAAAGGGCTCTAAGGCATATGAAGGACATTTTATTCTTAAAATAATTTATAATTCAATCAAATTAAAAAAAAAATCTTATTAAATTCAACCTGATCAAAATTTGTGTAGAATGGTAGTGCTCCAGAAAACTTTCGCAGTATGCCCCATGATTTTTCCACGAGACTCCACCAACTACAATGCCAAATGGATGGCAATGATTATGGCACTAGAGTGAGTAAGACATTCTATTGGTGATCTCTCCACCATTAATATTAAAAGAAAACTTGCAGTTGAAATTGGTACACGCAAGTACGCAACCATAAACCCAGAAGAAAATGCAAGAAAATGTTTCAAATTCTGTAGCAACAATATTTGGAGGAAAAAAATTATGACAAATTTGGATATTCACTTTTGCTTTCACTTCTAGAATTTTTGTGGTCTCTCATTTGCGTTCTTTCTTTGATTACTTTCAAAATAAGTAATAATGCATGAATTTGGTGAACCTTGTGACATATTGTCAACTTGTAGAAAGGCAAAATATTGACAGCTACACATTACCGATTCTGAGCAGTTCCAAAATCTGGTGCTTGTTTACTCTCGTAGACCCATCCAGGAGCAAATATTGCACCGGAGACATCATTTTTTCTTATCACATCAAGAGCAACATTTGTCTGACACATCCATAATAGAGTCAGAAGAACACTAGAAAAAACAGATATTCTACTCAGTTTTATAAAATAAAATATGCATGCTTAATTCATGTTCAAATGACCATTGATCCATTTTATTTTAACACTGGTCGTAACTTTTGCGTTAGATTCACGTTTTTTTCAAGGTGGTTCCAAACACACAAAACATGTATATCACAGAGAACATACATTCCACTGTCCACCACCGTATGTGTTCCTTCCAAATACGTCAATCCCCATGTAAACATCAAACTTTCGATCACCAGCAACAGCAGCAGATTGCTTTGGATAGTCTTCCTACATGGTATTGGTAATAATAAAATTATTTCAACGGAAAATAACAATTGACCAAACAGCAGTATTGCATGAATAGGTCAGTGGAAATTAAGAAGCAATACCTCCCATGAATAATTTGCAAATATCCCATCACAGATATCAAAGAAAGGCTTATTATATTGATTTAGTTGATTTTGATACCATAAATCACCATTAATAGTGACACTGTCATACCTACATGATCAAGAAAAGACATAAAACTCAATTGCTAGAACATTCTATTTCAATAATAATAATAATAATAAATCACAAGAATTGTGTGTCTTATAATATTTACCATATCACTAATGATCCAGGCACTGAAGAATGCATAGTTGATGTCAAGTGGCTGACAAACTCTTTCAAATTAGGAATTTGCCCTGGCTTCATTGTTACCTCCATATTTAACTGCAATTGAGGGTTACTATTTGAATCATTGAAAAAAAATGCAATGCTGCAAGGTATTACAGGATTGATTATGTTTCTTAGGATAAATATGCATGATGGTCCTAATATGATTCTCTTCATAATATTAATGTCGTTGAGAACGTCTGCCAAATTTCTAAGCTATGTAGTATGTACGCATAAGTGGCCACTCACAAGACTGCTAATGAAACACTTCTCTCTTAAAAAGAAAAAGATTGAGTTATTACAAGTTTTAGTTACAGCATTAGCACTAAATTTTCCTAGTGTAATCTTAAGAATATTATTATCCACGTTTCATTCTTTCAAATTTATTTTCTTTTCTGTTTTTGGAAGTATTAAGGCAACAACACACACTCTTGATCATGGGACTTCACTTTAAGAGCCCAATTTAATAGATGCTACATTCACCATTCTAGAAGAATAAATGTGGCATCATGTGAGCATGTGGTGCATTTGCCCCTTTGCTAGTGGAGGTTAATAGTTCATCCATTATATCAGAAAAATGTTTTGTAGACACCCTTAGAGTGTCTATTCCTTGACAGAGAAGAACAAAAGAGAGAAGTGATAGATAGTATATGTAATAAGAAGAGAGAGAAAGAGGAATGAGGAGCGTTAAACATGTATTGGGGCTGTTTGAGGGGTGTATATTCTATTGTCATTTTTATGTAATTGATTTTTTTTCTAAAATACCTTTATTAATAATATAGTTATAAGAAAGAAAAAATAATTTAAATAGGAGTAACAATAAACACTTTAGAGTGATAATAAACTTATTTCTATTTGAGTATTTATAAATCAAAGTTAATTCTAAAAGAAATAATAATAATGAATGTGAATGGAAATAAATTATTAGATGAGATAAACATTTAATAGATATTTATATAAAGGTTAAATGAATAGTTAGTCATTAAATCATCTAAGAAATTGTAAATAAATTATCATACTTTAACAGGATATAAAGTATTACGTCCAACTTTGATTTTTAAATTCAAGAACCTAATTTAAAATTTATAAAATAATCCAGGGACTAAGAGGTTAATTAAACCTTGTATGAACTCTTACCAGCCACCCGTCAAAGCCTAGATTAGAAGCAAGCTCTGCCAAATGTTTTGCATACATTTACGCAGAGTCCTTTGATGAAAGCAGTTCATCACAAACAGTGATTCCTTCATCCCCTTCAGTGATAAAAGTCCCCAGCACCTAAGAGATTAAGGGTACAATTACAAATTTACACAAAAGAAAGTTCAAGTTAAAAGATCCTGCAGCGATTCAATTTGAAACTAGTTATAATATGGGTGATGCAATGGAATTATCTGCTTGTCCTAATTAAACATTGAGCAATCAAAAATTAATGTTACAAAAATCTCCGAGTGAGAAAAATCATGAGCTTTGCCATAAAACATTAGAAAATAAGTTAAACTAAAACCAACGGTAGAAGCTTATGATTGACCTTAAACAACCGATACCGGTTAAAGCAAAGAGGAAACAACTTGTCACGTTTTAAAATCTTACAAGTGTAATTGGTAATATGGTTAACAAGGCCTTTTAAATAAAAATGATTTATATAGGAATCAAATAGACACGTATAACTGACAATATATATTTCCTTAAACATTTGCTATAAATAATTATACATTGATACCCTTAGTGGAGAGTAGAGAGAGATATGAAACAGAAGAAAAAAGGAAGATAAAGTGAAAAAAATGTAATAATGTAATAGAAGAAGAAAAAAGAGACAAAGACAAGAGGAAAATAAAGAAGAAAAGTAGGTATCAAAATATACGAATCAAGTAAAAACATAAAAAGAAAACCAATCAGAAATAAGTTAATAGTCCACAGGATAATTCAAACCGCCTTAGCTTCTGCGCAACAATTCTTGCTACAAAGATCGTTAGTGTAAACAAAATTCTCATCAACCTCACCAAATTCAAGATTGACATAAAACCATCACAACAAAATATAAAACAGAGTGAAAAAGGGAAAATATTGTATATGCAATTAGTAGTACCTTAACCCCATGACGATGAGCCGTATTAGTCCAACAAGGAGGAGGGAGTGTGACAAGATTGTGAGAAAAGTAGACAAACACATCTATCAAATACCAATGCCATATGGCATAGGCATCAGCATTAGGGCCTCCTTGGACCCACTTATCATCCAAATACCCCCCAGCCATATCATGGCACACTAATAATCTACTACGATTAGGCAATGATGGAGAAGATCCACTTTGAATGGGAACCGAAGCTTTGTTAAAAGGGTAGTGAAAGGACTCAAAATAGGACCTTGACTCCAGCTCCTTGAGGGTCTTTATTGGATATGAAATGGGCACAGAGGGTTGCTTAGGATCAAACTCGGACTTGGAAATATTGGAGAAAGACATTGTAAATAATATGGTAGATGCTTTGGATTGTTATGTAGAACAAAACAAGTATGTTGCTGACAGTTTAAGGATTGCAAGTTATATAGACTCTCGAAGAAGAGGATCCATACCAAGTTACCCACAGAATACGGCAATAGCAAGTCTTCGTTTGCTCATTGGCGTTGACTTCATGTAAGACTTGCATCGACTTCACGTGGCAAGCGGATGAGATTAATCTACAATAAATTAGATCAAGATATCCTGCACTTTTTTTTTTTAAACTGCATCAATCTCAGCCGTTTATATATATTTTTACTCAAACAAAATATTGAAGGAAAAATATGATTAAGTAAATGAATGGTAAAAAAATGAAAGGCAATGGAGAGAAGGAAAAGGAAGATTTTAAAAGAATTTCTAAAACGGGAGAACTCAATCTAAATTTTTTTTTTTAATTTTAAAAACCCTCAAATAAATCTTTAAAAAAAATCATTTTAGAAAATATTGAGATATAGTTTTGTACCTTGTTTTCTGGTTCCCACTGGCAGCTTACCATGTTTATGCTTTTTCTTTGTTGTAAACTTATCTTTTACATTAAATAGTTTGTCCTTAATTAATGAGGAAGAGATACAAATATTGAGATATAGTTTTGTATAGTTCACAAATTTTGACCGTGCAAGATTCGCTTGAATGAAATTGGCATGTGAGCATGAAAACGGAGCCAAAGTATACGTGCAAATATATCATAGAAAAATAATTTTATTTCAGGCCCCGCGTAAGAGTTGCATGTGATTGTAAGCACAAAGAAGACAAGTGACTAGAAATTATGCTTTGATGAAGAAGACACCATTATAACATTTTAGCTCCGTTTAAATTAGAGTTTATTCAATGGAAACAAGTGTTTAAAGTGCTTAAAATTTAAAACAAACAAATGCTTCATCATGTAAGTAAAATTAATTTTTAAAATATTATCATTAAATAAAATTTATTCGTAACTATTTTTAAAAAAATTAATTTTATTAAAATGTAAATAAAATGAAATGGCTATTTATAAACCCACTTATCTGCAACTGAAATATTTTCGTGGGTTTCGTGTAACAGTATGAAATGGGCCTGAATGGGCCTGCATTGAACCGAAAAACGACATTGCCCTAGTTCATTGGTCAGGAACGGTTTTTTCCTTTTGACCACCTTTTGATATTTTAATTTTATTTTTTAACACTTTTTGGAATAAAATTTACAAAAAAAAAGAAAAAAGTGGTGGAAACAAAATTCAGCCAGATAACTAGCAAGAACTAATGACTGCCGTTGAAAAAAAAAAGGCTTGATTTCAGCATAATTTGAAAACTGATTTGGATTTTTACCTAAAAGTTATTGATTTGATTTGGATTTTTTATTGAATTATTTTTTAAAACTTTTAATTTATTTTTATATGAATTTTAATTTATTTTTAAATTTAGAGTAAGTAGTATTTCAAAAATTAAAATAAATTTATTAAAAAATAAAAAATAGAAAAAGATAATAATTTAAAGAATAAAATTATAAAAATAATAAATTATTGATTAAAAACAAAAGACGCTCAATTAAAAAAATTAGAATTTAAAATAAATAGAAGTGATGTGCCATATAAATATAAAATAATATAGATTTATTATAAATGCAGTTTGGTTTGGTTTAATAATAAAAAATAAACTAAACACAAATTTAAAATATAATTTCATTTTTTTGGATCAAATTTTCAGTATAATAAAATTTTAACTTTTTAGATCAACCTTGAAAACAATTTGGTTGGATTGTAAACACCATTAATCTTGGATACTAACCAATAAGGACTGCTTGTAACGAGTAAGGACTTAAAAAGCTGAAAAAATATGTTGCTATTGTATATATTTCATGTTTGATGTCACACATATCCTCGGCCCATTATTTTAGTTTAGTTTACAGAAAGTACAGATAAACAAAACATAAGATGGGTTTGTGGAGTCCAAACTTTAAAATGTGCATGTAAATATACTTGTTTGGGCTATTAGCTAATTCAAATAAACACAAGATAGATGGGTTGTTATAGCTAGAAACATTCCAAATACTCACCAAGTGCTACGTTTGCCAGTTTTGTAAATTTAGCATATATGACTAATGGATTATCTACTGTCATATAAACATGTGCAGTCACGAACTGTACTCAAGCTTATTAGATAAAAGACTATAAGAAATTAATTCTGAGAAATAATCGTTTAATTTTTAAAATTTGTTTTATAATTTTTTTTTAAATGGGTTATTTAGTTTTCTAAAAAATATTTTTAATTATAAAAAATTTATCTTGTTTTATTTTTAAAATGTATTAAAATAATAAAAATATTTTTTAAAACAAAAAATCTTAGTAACTTTTTTAGAATTTTCTAAGGCATTAACATTATTATATATAAAATAAAACTATTGTCAACATTTCAATTAGCAAATACTTTTTTTTTTGTCATAAATAGGTTTTTCTACGAGCAAATAAACATGTACATAAGCGTATTATTCACATTTTAAATTTAAAGGTTTTTCATTTTATTAAATGAAAGTTAATTTTGAATTTAAAGCGTGCATATGAAAAATTTATTAAAAAAATAGTGTCGGTTCTAAATGTTTTTGAATTAAATAAAACTATTTCTCGTGAAAAATATTGCTGATAGTTTTAGTCAAAAGTTGAATTTCAGACATACATAAAATATGATAAACTTGTGCATTCTTTACACACCATGCATGAAATAAAATGTGATATAACAATATAAAAACATAATATAAATGAATCTTCAACTTCTAATGATTAAGCATTTTGAACGCCAACTCCATATAAATCAGATCTGTCACAATGAGTTTAATAATAGATCATGAGGTGCACAATATTCGGGCTCAACCACTTTGATATTTAGTATAGCTCAAAATTGAACATATGAGAAATACTTTGTGAAGTTAAAAAGAGACTGTGGAAGCCCAACATCCAATACAGTAGAGAGAATAATATACGTTAATGTGTAAATAAATGCCTATAAGAACAATGGATTAGGAATTATTAGTTGGAACACTATATAGTTTAGTTTATTAGATTTTAGTTGATCCATCGTTCTAAGCACTTTCCAAATGTCGAACAAATTAAGCTATAGCTGCATATAATACATACCTGCAGCGCCCGAAATTTCTTTGTTTTGGTGAGAATGAAAGTAACGACGAAGGTAAGTGCCAAATGATAGCTAAATATGACCTAATACCTAATCACCCTCCACCTAATGTCCAAAACCAAATTCATAAAAAAAATGGTTGTACTTGTACCTCATTGTTTATTGGGTACAATCATTTATATAAAAAAGGGAAGTCAAGTGATTATGATTATCAATCTCGACGCACCCTTAGCTTTGAAGCCAAGCAACATTTATATCCTCCAAAGATAGTGTTCCTCTCCCACTATCTCACCATTTGGAACCCACCATACTTCTCCATCTCACCCTTCTTCTAGCTATTTCATGGCGGTTGTACTTATCCTTTTTCTTTTCTTTTTCCTTTTCGATGCTGCTACGCGCATGCTAATATTATCAACACGTACCGTAGATAGAGTTCAATATTCATGATGTGTGTATCTTGTCATATTGTTGCAGAAAATGTTTCACGAGATTAGAATAATACAAAATAGCCCTTCCAGGGATGCCTGTTTTATTGTTCGTGTTTATTTTCAATTGAATTTTATTAACAATTACAAAAATATTATATACTGTTACATTTTTTATTTTTTTGCATGTGAAGGGATTGATGCATTTTGTTAAATAAAAATTTTAAAACAGAAAATGGAGTGAAATCAAGATGGTATTCAAATAATTATTAATAAAATTTACTAACTGAAAAAAAAAATGGAACTCTATTAGGAATTTTTTGTTGTAGTAGTAGCACAAGATATTCCAATATTACTTAGCACTTATACGTGAGTGGAAAGCAAGGAGGGTGGGGCGAATGCTGATGAACTAAAGTTTTAAATAAGTTATATGTAATCAAACCTTTAGCATTCTTAAAATTAGTAAAACCAAACACATGTTGGTTGCTTACTGTCTAATCAATTTAGAGAAAATGAGAGAGTGGTGAAGTGGAGGCCAACCTCAAAATGTAGCGTAAAATTATTAAAAATGTGTTTTTTAATAGATTAGTAAAACTAAACATGTTCTTTGCTTATTGCTTAATCAATTTAGAGAAAACGAGAGAGTGGTGAAGTGGAGTCAAACCTCAAATGTAGCATAAAACTATTTTAAATATTTTTTTAATATATTGGTAAAACCAAACTTGTTATTTGCTTATTATCTTATCGATTTAGAGAAAATAAGAGTAGTGCATGCAAACCTCAAAGTGTAGCGTATTACTATTTAAAATACTTTTTAATTATCCAATTACAATCATAATGTAATTTTTTTTGTCGAATAATAGAAAAATTAAATGTTTTATAAAATAAAAATCATAGAAAAAAAATATGATGGTATAAACAGTTTTTAATCAGAATTGTGTCGGTGTTTGGAAATGGACAAATATCAAAATAAACTATATATAAAATGTTACGTGAGAATTCCAATTTTGATTTAAAGCAAATGTAATTAACTTTAGAAAATGTAAAAAATAAATAAATTAATAAGTATTATGAATAATGTTTCGCGATCAAGTACACTAAAATATAAAGTATATAAACTTAAGTTTATTTAATAAAATAATAATTATTGATAATAAAAAATGTAAACTATAATATAAAAATAAAAGGTATTTGAAAATTTTCATTTATGGAAACCTTTTAAATTATTTTAGTAAAAAATATTTTAATATTAATTTGTGAATATCCTCATCATAATTAATGTTCAACATAAATATTTGAATATTAATTAATATAATTAAAGAAATTAAAAATTCCATTTAATTATATGATTAAGAACAAAATTTAAATATAAAAACCGTAAGAGTTATATCATAAAAAATAATCATAACTGTAAAAGAAATACATCATATAAAGAAGATGTTTTATTTTTAAAAAAATAAATTTATAATATAGGAGTATATGGCTTC